CAAGAACTATGTTAAATAGAAGTGGTGAAAGAGGGCATCCCTGTCTTGTTACCACTTTTATAGGGAATGCCTTCAATTTTTTTTCATTTAGAATGATGTTGGCCTGGGGCTTAGCATAATTAGCTTTTAAGATGTTGAGATATGTTTCTAGTTTTTATAGTGTTTTGAACATAAAGGTGTACTGTATTTGTCAAATGCTTTTTCTACATCTATTGAAATGATCATATGATTCATATCTTTAAGTCTATTGATGTGATGAATTACATTTATTGATTTCCATATGTTGAACCAACTTTACATCCTTGGGATGAATCCCACTTGATCATGGTGCACAATCTTTTTGATATGTTTTTGTATTTGATTTGCCAGAATTTTATTGAGAATTTTTGCATCTATGTTCATTAGAGATATTGGTCCAAAGTTTTCTTTTTTTGATGTGTCTTTGCCTGGTTTTGGAATCAGAGTGATATTGGCCTCATAAAATGAGTTTGGAAGTGCTGCCTCTTTTTCTATTTCCTGAAATAAACTGAAGGGTATTGGTATTAGTTCTTCTTTAAAGGTCTTGTAGAACTCAGCTGTGTATCTATCCAGTCCTGGGCTTTTCTTGGTTGGTAGACTTTTGATGGTGTCTTCTATTTTGTCACTTGAAATTGATCTGTTTAAATTGTGTATATCATCCTGATTCAATTTGGGCAATTTATATGACTCTAGAAATTTGTTGATGCCTTCAATATTTCCTATTTTATTGGAGTATAAGTTTTCAAAATAATTTCTAATTATCTTCTGTATTTCTGTAGTGTCTGTTGTGATATTTCCTTTTTCATAATATATGTTTGTGTTTGAGTTTTCTCTCTCCTCTTCATTAGCATGGCTAAAGGTCTGTCAATTTTATTTTTTTCAAAGAACCAACTTATTGTTCTGTTAATTTTTTCAATTGTTTCAATTTCATTTATTTCAGCTCTGATTTTAATTATTTCCTGTCTTCTGCTGCTTTTGGTGTTGATTTGTTCTTTTTCTAGGGCTTTGAGATATAATGTTAAGTCATTTATTTGTTGACTTTTTCTTCTTTTAAAGAATGAACTTTATACAATGAACTTTCCTCTTAGAACTGCTTTCATAGTGTCCCAGAGATTTTGATATGTTGTATGTGTTCTCATTTACCTCTATATTTTATTAAATCTCCTCCTTGATGTCTTCTGTGACATTATTCATTAAGTAGCATATTATTTAGTCTCTAGGTGTTGAAGTGGATTTTATTTCTTACTTTATCATTGATTTTTAAGTTCATTCCATTATGATCTGATAGAATGCAGGGTAGTATCTCTACTTTTTTTATATTTACTAAGAATTGCTTTGTGGCATAGAATATGGTCAATTTTAGAGAAGGATCCATGTGCTGCTGAGAAGAAAGTGTATTCTCTCATTGCAGGATGAAATATTCTATATAATGTCAGTAAAGTCTAAGTTATTGATTTTATTATTGAGTTCTATAGTTTTTTTTTTTTGTTCAGCCTTTGTTTGGAAGATCTATCTAGTGATGAAAAAGGTGTGTTAAAGTCACCCAAAATTATTGTGTTGTGGTCTATTTGACTCTTGAACTTGAGCAGAGTTTGTTTGATGAATGTAGATGCTCCATTGTTTGGGGCACATATATTTATAATTGTTAAGTCTTATTGGTGTATGGTTCCCTTGAGCAGTCTGTAGTGTCCTTCTTTATCTTTTTTGATTGACTTTAGTTTGAAGTCTACTTTATTTGATATGATGATGGAAACCCCTGCTTGCTTCCACAGTCCATGTGAATGGAATGATTTTTCCCAATCCTTCACCTTCAGTTTGTGGATGTCTTTTTCTATGAGATGAGTCTCTTAGAGGCAGCATATTGAGTCCTTTTTTTAAAAATCCAATCTGCTAGTCTATGTCTTTTGATTGGTGAGTTTAGGCCATTAACATTCAGGGTTGAGATATGATTTGTATTCCAAGCCATTTTTGTTTAATTTGGTATTTAACGTGACTTGGTTTCTCCTCTGATTAGATTTTCCTTTAGTGTAATCCCCCCCTCTGCTGATTTTCCTCATTGTTTTTCATTTCCTCTTCTTGGAATATTTTGCTGAAGATGTTCTGTAGTGCAGGCTTTCTAGTTGTAAATTCTTTTAACTTTTGTTTATCACAGAAGGTTTTTATTTCATCACCAAATATAAAGTTTAGTTTTGCTGGATATAAGGTTCTTGGTTGGCATCCATTTTCTTTCAGAGCTTGGTATATGTTGTTCCACAATCTCCTGGCTTTGAGGGTCTGGGTTGAAAAATCTGCTAAGATACAAATTGATCTCCCCCGATATGTGATCTGATTCCTCTCTCTTGCAACTTTTAAGATTCTATCCTTATTCTGTATGGTAGGTATTTTCATTATAATGTGCCTTGGTGTAGATCTGTTGTAATTTTGTACATTTGATGTCCTGTAAGCCTCTTGTATTTGGTTTTCCAATTTGTTCTTCATGCTTGGGAAATTTTCTGATATTATCTCATTGACGAGATTATTCATTCCTTTGGTTTGCACCTCTGTGCCTTCCTCTATCCCAATAACTCTTAGATTTGGTCTTTTGATGCTGTCCCATAACTCTTGGATGTTCTGTTCATGTTTTCTAACTATCTTCACTGTGTGATCAAATTTATTTTCCAGGTTGTATACTTTATCTCATTATCTGATGTTCTTTATTCCAAGTGATCTAGTCTGTTGGCTATACTTTCTATTGAGTTTTTTATTTTTTATTTGATTTATTTCAAGGATTCATTTCAAGGATTTCTGACTTTGTTTTTTCAGAGTCTCTCTCTCTTGAAGTAATCTTTTGCTACCCGTATTTGCTCTCTTATCTCACTTTGGAGTGATCAATTTTTGCCTGTATTTGCTCTTTTAGGCCATTCTTTAATTCAGAGATCATTTTAATTATGAACCTTCTGAACTCCTATTCTGACATTTCATCAACTTCACTGTCTGTGGCTTCTGTTATTTTAGTGTCCTGGTTTGTGTGGGGGAACTTTCCTCCCTTGTATTTTTATATTGTCTATGTGTCTTCCTTTCTTGTAGTGTGGATCTGAGATATTACAGTTTATTCCCTATATTCTTATAGTACCACTATAAGAATATTGAGGTGTTGTCTGTACCTCACCTTGATGTTGGGCTTCCAGATCCTGTTGTTGTCCCTCAATGAATGCTACTGCATCCTGGATCTGGGTTCTGCACAAGTTGGTGTGGGTGGATCTGGACCACAGGGCTTGACCTCCCTTGGTAGTTTGCTGGTTGGAAGGGCCTGATAAGTCTTAAAATTTTTTTATGTTATCTCATATTTCTTGGAAGTTCTTTTTGTGGATTCTTACCATCTTCTCTATACAGTCAACTTTATTTTCAAGAATGTATATTTTGTCTTCATTGCCTGAGGTTCTGTCTTCCAAGTGGTCTAGTCAGTTGGTGATACTTTCCATTGAATTTTTAATTTGGTTTATTGTTTCCTTCATTTCAAGGATTTCTGCTTGATTCCTTATTATAGTCTCTGCCTCTTTATTGAAGTGATATTTTCACTTCCTATATTTTCACTAGGATACCACCCTTTATTTTGAAGTTCAGTCTAACTATATACCTTCTAAAGTCCTTCTCTGACATTTCTTCTATTGTTTTATCTATGGATTATATTGTAGGAATATCTTGGTTTATTTGAGGTGCTTTGTTCCCTTGGTTTTCATGTTGTTTGTGTGTCTTCCCATCTAGGTATGGATTTGAGGCAGTATAGTTTCTACCTTGTAGTCTTATAATGTCCCTGAAGTCTTCTAGTACCTCACCTTTAAGGGGGAGATCAATATTAACAGCACCCAATGCAAACAATATACAACCTTAAACCAAACAACTCCTACTAAGGCAGCTACAGTTTTGTCACAATAAACAGAAATGATAGGTTCAATTATTATCTATGAATAAACAGTAAGTTTGCTAAAAGGGTTTGCCACTTCAAATGATGGACAAAGAGGGAATAGAAGTAGCATAGGATGTGATCTTTATGAAGGAGAAGGAGAGAAGATAGAGGTGAACATTTTTAGTAAGAGCAAAGGAGGAATTAATAAAGGCTTGCTGTTAGCATGAGAGAAGTGAGAAAGAGAATCTAGGGAGACAGATAAGAGAAAAAAATACATACATATTAAAAAACAGTAATAATATAAAATATAAGAATACACACAAAAACCCCTATAGTATACTATTCAGACATCCCATTCCTCAATAAATTGATGCATGAAAAATATTGGGATTCAAAGATGGTAGAGGTGTGAGAGAGGGGTGAAATATAATAAGTCTCTATGGAAATTTGAATGATTGCTTCCATTGGTTTTCAAAAATTTTCTCAGCTTCCTTTCTCTGCCAATAGGTGGAAGTTTGATGGTAGCTCCAGTCTGCTGGGTGCCAAACTGGTTAGCTGGGCAAGCTGATGGCAAGATGCCCTCACATCCTCTTCAAGTCTTCCCACCCATTGTTGCCAGCCCCTTCCATCCCCGAGCACTTCAGGACTCACTGGGAGGGAGAGAGCCCATTCTCTTTAGTTTTGACAACCTGTGCTCCTCCCAAGGAACTGCCCCCATTCTCTAGCTTTCCACAGGATTTCCAGGCCCAGACTAGCCCACGCAGACCCACATGCAATCTGACAGACCAGGGCTTCCCCAGGCTCTGCCTTGCTGCAGTCCCAACATCTCAACGCCATTCCAACTTGCAGAGAGACCATAGAGATGCACTCACACAAAGAGTAAATCTGCAAAGAGGCAGCCAGATGGTGGCTACTAGCACACCTGGCAGGAAGACCTCAGGTGCAACCAGACCTGCAGGTCCTCCAACAATAGACCTCCAGGGCCTTCCCAGTGTCTCCAGATTTAGGCAGCTGCACCCTGAGATGGTGCCAATGGCAGTAGCAAACCTGCAGGCCCCTTGGCCCTTGACTCCCAGCCCCTGGCTTGTGTCCCAAGATGGCAGCAGCTGCATGTGACCAAACCTGTGGGTACCCTGACAATGGACTTCCAGGCCACAATGGGCAGCAGGTGCTCCTTGGGTGGTCTGTGGGTAAATGGCGAGCACTTGGTGGGTAGGTTGCATGCAATGGGCAGGCTAAAGGTGGGAAAACAGGCAATTGGCATGTGGTCATAAGTGGTCAGCAAGCAATCTGCACTCAAAAGGCATATAATTTTATTAATTTGATTTTTCTCTTTCTCTCTCTTTTGGTTAGCTTGGCTAGGGATTTATAAAACTTGTTTATTAATTAATTATTATTTGTTCCATTGACCTTTTATATTGTTCTTATAGTTTCTATTTCATTAATTTCAGCCATAATCTTTGTTATTTCTCCTATTGATTTTAAGATTGATTTCCTCTTGTTTTTCTAAGACTTTAAGATGTGTCACTAGGTTATTTATTTGAAATCTCTCTTTTTGAAATAGAAGTACTCAAAGATGTAAGCTTTCCTCTTAGAACTGCCTTCACTGCATCCCAGAGACACTGGTATGTTGTGTCTCCATTTTTGTATGATTCTAAGAATTTTGAAGTTTCCCCCTTAATTTATGTAGTGAGCTACTTATCAATCAAAAGTGTATTGTTGAATATCCATGTATTTGTATAGCTTCTAGTTTTTTCCTATTGATTTCTTATTCCATTGTATTCCGAGAAGAGTCAAGAGATTATTTCAAAGTTTGTATTTGATAAGACTTGCTTTATATACTAATATGTTGTCAGTTTTGGAGAATGTACCATGAGTGGCTCAAATGAAAATATATACAGCTGCTGTTGTATAAAGTAGTTGGGTAAAGTATTCTGTGTATTTCTGTTAAGTCCAACAGATCTATCATAAACTTTAAATTTGATAAGTCTATGATTTTCTATCTGGAATGATCTGTCTCAGAGTGGTAGATTGAAAAACCCTCACTATTATGTTGAAGCCTGCCAATACCGTTATATCAAATGTTTGTTTTATAAAATTAGGTGTACCAATATTATATCTTCTTGGTGGACTGTTCTGTTCACCGATATACAATGATTTCTTTTGTCACTTCTAGTTTTGGCTTGAAGTCTGCTTTGTCTGATATTAAAGTGATTACTTCTGCTTGCTCTGATTCCATTTGCATGAAATATCATTACCCCATTCACTTTAAGTATGTGAATGCCTTTGCATATGAGATGTGTTTCTTTGAGACAGCATTCAATGGGTGTTGTTTTTTAAACCAATGTGCCATACTATATCTTTTATAGAAGAATAAAACCATTTATATTCAGAAAAAAAGAGAAAAACAAGGGCCACTTCATCAATTTGCCTGACATTTTTGTGCAGAGGCCATGTTTATTTTCTCTATAAAATTCCAGTTTTAATATACATATTACGGGACTGAGCAATCCTCATGAATTTTCAGTTTGACTCTTGCCCCACTTTCTTATTTTGAAAATTAAAAAATACTCATATTTCTTATAACCTCTTTGGTGGTTTAGAATTAGTGCATATGTTTTAAGGAAAAAATTATATGAAGAAAAATGAAAAAGAAGTGACTTAGCTGGTTGCTGAAGACTTGATTTTTTTTGTTTACAGATGTGTACACCAMAAGAGTTCCACCTGGTACAGAATCTGAAATAACTGTCACAGCAACAACCGATCTGAGATTTGCTGTAAAGCACCGTAAGTCCTGAAAGGCACTGTTAAACATGTGAAGGCCCTTAAAGCACCACAAAACACTGCTGTGTAGGAAAGAAGTCTTTGTTCCTAAACAGACTAAAATTCTCCCTCTAAAGTAGATGCTATGATGCAGGGATCCAGCTACTTCTGGGTTATCCTTTAGGTTTTTCTCATTCTTCCTCCCACTCTATACCCTTGAGGCTCAGGTCCATTGCCCTGAAAATTTCAAAAGGCAGAGATGCTCTTACAATTCTAAACCTCATATTTTGGGTCTGCAGGGAAAGGAAAATCAAATAACTGAATTGAAGATTCTAGGAAATGATGCAACTTTCTTCAACCTACATTTTTGCTCCTTTCTGCTTTGTAGACCTTCAAAAGCCTTCAACAGAGAGGAAAGAAGGATCCTGGCTATAGCAGTTTCAACACTGGGAAAACCCAGACTGGAAAATGCCCAATTATAATTAGGCATTGGCAATCATGGAATATTTCTGAGCAATTCCAAATTCTTTGTGAGACAGTTACATTTCTGAGGCAAACATTAATTAGATACTCCCTCATAGAAATCTGACTTGTGCATAGCAAACATCTTGAAGTATGTGGGATAAGAACCAGATACCCAGCTCTCAAGCAGTGCAGGTACCTCACAACCCCTCAGGATGTGTGCTATTGAGAGCCACAGGCAACAAGAAAAAGCTATCCAAAACTAAATTGTATCCCCACAATCCAGGCCCCCAAGGGACTGTCACAAAAGTTGGATAGGGATAAGGAATTCCTGCAGTGTTCAAGGGGATTGTGACAGAGGAGACACTCTGTCATGGGAGGGATGCCCTAGAGGAGAGTCCCTGGAGGCAATGGAGATCTCCCTGATAACTCTGAAGATCACTGGCTGAAATAGAGTCCCCAATGCTGGCAGAGAAAGGGAATGAGCTGGTGCCACCAGATGCTCCTCTCCCAAGAAGAAGAAAATGATTGTCTAGCAGAGTTTAAAGATTCCTTACCATTCATTTGAGTCTCCCCTGAGTCAGCATCAACTCTAGTAATGGGTTTCCCTTTCCATCCTTCTTTGTCAGCAGGATACCTGAAAGGGGTTTGTGGGCTCAGTCTGGATTCCTTCTGCCTCTCTGTTCAACTCCCCACTCCTGGGAAGGTCTGAACTCCATATGGAACTTGCACTGGCTCCTGCATTCAGCAGTTAACTAGGATTGCCAACTACATGGGGGAAATGGGCCTCCAGTCTCAATGGTTCCCACACCTGTCTCAGTGATGTACCTCCAGACAGACACATTATAGACCGAGATGGGTGCTGAATGAGGCCTGCCGATCCAATGTGCAATCCCAAATCCTTACATTCCAAACTGTTTCCAATTGACAAGGACACTCTTGGTGCCTCCTCTTCATGTCATCACATTGAACAACAACCAGGCTGCTCTGGACTGCAGCTGTCATTTTAAGGTTGTGCCTTGACCTTTGAAACCAAGTGTCTTACCAGTGATCTCCCAGACCTCCAGAGGAGCCTGGCCCCCTGTGCCTTGCTTTTTCTCTCTCTCAAGTTATAGGCATGTTAACCTCGCCTCAGACAGCCCATCATCCCCAAATCTTATTGCTTGGTCCTTTCCCCTCTGTAAGTTATTTTCAGGAAAACTTTCTCTCTTCTATCTCTTCTCTCTCCTTGTCTGTATTGCATTTTTCTTCAAAATATGCTTAGTCATAGATGTTTATTCGATATTTTCATATACTGATAATTTTGTATCCCTTTTCCTAGATACAACGGTCACCACGACTAGACCACAAACTGAAGAAACACCCTTTCATAAATATGTGAAAAGTATTAAAACTACTATATTGTCTTCATACCTGGATCATGTCAAATAATTTAAAATTATTAAGTTTCACTACTCTGAGCATTATGTAAAGGAATAGCATGCTTAAAGAATTCATACTACTACATTTTAAAGTCACTATAAAATCTTTTAAGTGGTAAATGTCTTGAGTCAAAATTTAGATCTACCTGACAATGGATAGAAACTGAGAATTTTTATGAATTTTAATACAATATTTTATATGTATAAATATATATGTATGAATGAACATATAAAATATAGATACATGAACATATATTTATAAATATATGAAGTACATACATATTTATGTGGATTAATATATTTACATAGATTTTAAAATATTTAATATATTTTAAATGTAATTTAAATTTTGAGGAATATGAAAATTTCTACCCTCTTGGGGAATGAATGTATTTCTGGTTAGTCACTGATGAGTGTTTCCTAAGGTTTTTCAGGGGAGTGGGAAGCTATAAAATTAAAATCACTTTTTAATTTTCTGCCAATAATATTGTTCCTCGTAAAATATTTGTGAAGACATAGGAACCCATGGCTCTTCTCTAAGGACTTGAATGAATGGTCTTGTTGAAGATAATTAATTCTTACCTGTCATTACATGAAACCCTAATTCTTCAGGTCAGGAAATTCAAGTATGATTCTAATATAATCACTCTCAAATAGGTTGGATTTTAATGATGCTAAAAAAAGAAAGAAGATAAAAACTCTGATCTACTTTTTTTATTGTGTTTAAAGATGAAAAAGTAGATTGTCCTGGTATCCCCATTCTTAAGTATCCTTAATAATTTCTGCTAATGATGGGGGGCTATTTCTAAGTTCTTAATCAAGCATTCAAGTCTGAAATGATCTGGCAACTATGAAAACTTCCTAGTCTCCTCTCTGGTCATATTCCCCCAACCATATTCTTTGCTCCAGAGTATCTGAAGCTCCAAGAGCTTATTTGAACCTGCCCATCACTCTGCCATAACTCATGCTCACAGCAAGAATGATCTTTCTCTCACCTCCTTTGCTCGAGGAGTGATTACTAGAACTTTAAATCAAAACTGGGGCATCACATGCCTTTGGGGGTGTTTCTAGACCCCACAGGTGATGATGAATTAGGCCCTGTGTATAGTACATGTCTATTTGTATAATTATCCTGCAACAAACCAAAAATTATTCTTCTCTGCCTTCAAAGTTAGGTATGGGTACCTTGAGCATAAAACCCAGGTCATGTTCACTCCTGTACCTTTAGTTGAAACCACAGGGTGTGACATATGGTAGAAGTATTCGATATGAATGTTAAATCACTAAACAAATAAATGTTATTAAATCCAAATTACCTTATTATGTTATTCTTTTTTAAAAAAACAGAAACGACCCCAAATGTGCCTGCGTTTTGGACAATGTTAGCTAGAGGTAAATTCATATAGTAAAGTAGCTGGGGAGATGTTTTGGGTTTCTAAAATTTTGTATTCAAAAGCCAAGATCAATCTAAATACTTACAGTGCTAAGAACTAATAAGTCAATGTTTTATTGCCATATGTAATAGCAAATGCCATACAAATCCAGAGAAGTGATAAAGTCACACAGTTTCTTATTCTACTATGCAAAATGTTTTATTCTCCTGAAGAGGTTAAAATTGAATAATTCAATTTAATTCATGACTAAAGTTATTAAATAAGTTTCTTGCACAATATAGTCCTTCTCTGTGTTTGCAACAGGGTGCACATAAACAGAGATGCTTATGTACATTCAAAGTATCTACCAAGATATATGCATGCACAAAGTAATATGTATCATAAATATATAGGCACACTGTACAAATTAGCCTATGCATCCATGTATAAGTAAATGTATATGCATTTAGATGTACTTATGTATGAATGAGTGAACGAGCGTGATGTACTGCACAGATAGATGCATGCTAAATGTAAAATATATACCATATGCAGTCAATCCTTACTGTTTGCACATTCTGTATTTATACTCTGTATCATCTACTCACCATGATACCTTTGTCACTCAAAATCAATGCTTTCAGCATCTTAGAGGCCATTTGGACAACAGCAGAACTTCAAATATTTTTAATGTTCTGATAAGTACACTCAATCATCCCTTCAGCTGGCCCCCACATGTAGTGTTAAACTAGCTGGTTAATTTTCCCAAATGCAAGAAGGTAGTGATGTGCCTCATGGAGAAACTATATGTGTTAGGTAAGCTTTCTTCAAATATCTGTTTGTTTACTGTGCAGAATATAACTACCATGCATACTGAGAACAGGCCCTACATCCCATGTAAACACATTATCATACACATATATTAATTTTACCTAGAGAATGTTATTTGCCATAACCACCAATGTATTGTTTTAACAGCTATAAATGGAACAACAGAGGTCATGGATGATAGAGATCAATTATTTCAACCAATTCCAGGTAAGAAGAGTACTTCAGTTAATAGATACATTGTTAATAGATACATAATAGATACATTAATAGATACATTAATAGATACAGTTAATAGATACATAATAGATACATTAATACTCACATGTTTTACTGCCCCTTGGTGATACCATTTTCCTAGTAAAGAGTAGTGAAGGCAGGAGGGTGTCCTGGTGGCCAGCATCACAAAAAAGAGGACATTTCCTGTTTTAGGAGTGTTACAGTTCCTGAATATTCTTCTTCAGTTACCAATTTGCCGATGAGTGCTTCATAGCTTCTATTCCTGACCCAGAGAAACAAAATAGAGTAGTAGGTGAGTGGAAATACAGAGAAGGCAGTCTTTTTTTTTTTTTTTTAAGAAGCTTTAATTGCAGAGGAATTTTAGGCTTAAGGAAAAATTTAGCTTAAAGTACATAGGGGTCCCACATCCTACCCCCCTTTACTTTTCCCTATTATTAACATCCTACATGGGTGTGTTACATTTGTTAAAATTTATGATTAATACAGTATGATTAAATAAAGTCCATAGTTTACATTAGGGTTTACACTTGTACTGTACAGTTCTTTGGGTTTTAATAAATGTGTAATGTCATGTGCCTACAATCACAGTATATTATACAAGTTTCACTATCCCAAAGTCCTCTCTGCTCTCCACAACAATTCACCCACCCATTCATATCCTCTGAACCTTGGCAACCACTSATCTTTTCCCTGCCTCTTTAGTATTCTTTTTTTTTCCAGAATGTCATATAGTTGAAATTATACAGCATATAATCTTTTTCAGAGGGTTCATGTTCACCCGGCAGCATGCATTTTAAATTTTCCATATATTTTTGTGACTCATTTCTTTTATCATTAATATCCCATCATATAGATGTACCCACTTTATACTCCCATTGAAAGACATTTAGGCAATTATGAATAAAGTTWCTATACATTTGTGTGCAGGTTTTGTGCAGATGTAAGTTTTCAACTATATTTGAGTAAATACCTAAGAGCACAATTGCTGGAGCATTTAGTAAGACTATGTTTAACTTCCTAAGAAACTACGAAATTGTTCTCCAAAGTGGCTGTACTATGGCATATTCTCACGAGTAATGAACGTGAGTTTCTGTTGCTGAGTGAACTTTATATTAATGGAGTAATTGCATTTTTAAAACAATTGATAGTTCATATGGACAGTTTTTATGAAAAAACAATGTGTTAATTTTTCCCAAAATGCCTGTCCTACAAAAAAATGTTGGAAACAGAAATTAACTGGTGATATATCCAAGATCTGTCACCTCAATTCTGTACTGAATTGTTTGAAGACTGTCACTGTTTACCTTGTGGTGCTTCAAGAAAATGGAGTGAGTCTTTTATGTTTAGAAATGTTATACATAGGGATCACTAATGCTGGGTCATTTTAGAAAYRCTTTATTGTTTCTTTAACTGAAGTGATTAAATGTGGCTTGATTGATTTTCTGTCATTTGCTGAGCACACAAAGGGAATTCTGGTGCTTTAGCTTCATTACTGTGTCAGTCCTCACAGCCACTCCATGAAGTTGGATTTATCTCCATTTTATAGAGAAAGAAACTGAGGCTWAGAGCAAAAACCTGCCCACACCTRTAACTGGCTRTTTCAGTGATTAGGAATTCCAAACTCTTCTCTGGTTCTGACCATGACCTTGATAAATGCACTATGAACAAGCCTCTTTAGAATGACTCTTTAAGGAGGCAGAAAAGCAACTTAGGAGAATTTTCCATTTTAACAATTTGTTGGATTATTCTCCAAACAATTGGTCTCAGAGTCAGCTAACAACCATTGACTGCTCTATATATCTCCTTCCACAGYGAAGAAGATCACACTTTGACCATTTTAAGTTTTAAAATCAGAGAGCTTGGATATGAGAATTTGTTATAACTATTACATACAAGGAAGATCTTTGGACCATTTGGAATGGAGGTGGGAGGAACTGTGAAAAGGGGAAGAAGTGACAACCTGGTCATCTAAAGTCATTGTTCAATAAAGTTTATTAAGTCAGATGAATATTCAGGATAAGGTCAGATCTAGTAGTAAAGAGGCATTTTTATTACTAGTTTTAATAACTTTCTTCATGTCTCTGAATCCAGACATCACTTTTTGATTTAACTTATTTTAGAAAGTTAAAAAAAAATGTTTGCAWTTCTCRATGCAATGTCAAGTACACTAGATTTAGTCATCTCAGTAATTAAAGGCAAGCTTAGCCCTTAAACCTCATGGAGAGAGCCTGCACACACCATCCTTTTATTTCAAAGAACAACCAGTACATGTTGCAACAACAGAACATCACCCTTCTCTTCTGAAACACTGGTRCCTTGTGTGTACATTGATCATATTAATAGTCAYCTCTACAGAGATGATCAATTACTTTAACTGGTTTCTAGGAAAGTCAGGGAGAAAGTCTGCTACATACASATTTTGACATCTGGTAACCTGGGTTTAAAGTCAGACTCTGCCACTTACTAGTTGTGTGCAAGGGGAAAATTCATGAACTGMTGAGATCCTGTAAAATGGAGCTAAGGACAGCTCCTCCAAGAGTGCTGTGAAGGGTAAAGAGGAAGGAGTGCTTGGCGTGGGAAGTAGCCTTCTCTCTGCATTGCCTGTGGTAGGAGAATGAGCAGTGGACACTGAGGGTGGCRTGGGGCTTCTCTGCATCTTCTACCATCCTCAATMTCCAGGAAAACATCAAGAATMCACTCTTCTCCTTTGCATTTTCTTTCTTTCCTTTCAGGTTTGGATGTGAACACTACAGAGGAAGACACACAATCACTGCTAGATGATCTCAAGCTCAAAATAATGCTGGGCATCTCATTGATGACCCTTGTCCTTTTTGTCACTCTGTTGGCATTCTGTAGTGCCACACTGTACAAACTGAAGCAGCTAAGGTAAGCCCACCAACCTCTGCAGTGTTTATAACYGATGCATGCTGTCAAGCTCAGTCCCTCCTGTCCTAGGTAAATTGTTAGCATATTGTAATGTCTGAATAATGGAGCTGTCAGTCTTTCAGTGTGACTCCATTTCCTCTATTCCCAAGTAGAATGGGGCCATCTCAGGCAGTATCCTTCCATGATCTTTTTTTCCAATATTTTAAATAGTAATSTACATATAGAAATAATCTTAGTCAATTGGAAAGTAAACAGAGTATGTTGACAATGCTTTATATGTTGATAAAACCTTGGAACAAAAAWTACTGTGCTTCTAACTACCACATTTGCTTAGGGTCTTACATTTTTCATTCAAGCAAGACAATAAAAAAACTGCAAATTTGTTTCATTTCTATATTCTATATTCTATATTTGTTCTTATGGAAATATTAAATTCAACTCAAACCTGAATAAGAGGATTGCTTATTTAAATTTTTCACAAAATATAACACATTATTTGTAGAAATCCTAATGATTGCTTAATGTTCAAAGTTATTAATAATTATTTTGATCATGATATTTTTATGCATGGTGTATTTCTCTGTTTCATTAAAATTTGTATCCGAGTCATTTATTCTTCCTAATTCCATCTCATTTACATATGTAATGAAAGTTAAACTTTCATTATAGTAATCTTTACTGTTTTAGTAAATTGGTTTTTAAATTCTAGTCTTGAGGTTTGAATCATGCTTTTCATTCACACAAGCATTAGCTATAACACAATTACCATTTAAGAAAAACTATATCATTTATATAATGTTATTAAATAACTAGTACATTGGAAAAATTATATTTTAGCAATTCCAAATACTTTTTAAAGTTGATGTAGAAAGTCACCCTATTGAAAACATGCTTTTATTCTTTTTCAGCTACAATAGTCAGTACAATCAATACTCCACCAACCAACAGATGACAAACACATCTTACTCACCACGATCAGACGATATATCAGATACATCTTATTCTGGGGGCAGCAGCACATATTGGCCTACCACATCCTCAGATGCGAGAAGATCAGGCTCAAGAATGTCAAAATATAGAAACATGACAGATTGGACTTCCACAGGCTCAGATGAGACATTCTTAAATGAGTCAGATATTCCCATGAGCGAGGAACCTAGTGATGACTAGATAACTTTAATTCTTTTATCACACACACATAAAGACCTTTCGGTCTCACGTTGCTGTCATCATTTGGAACTGGTGACATTCCACTTTCTGGTGTCTTAAGAGAAGGCTGTATGCAATAAAAATTATCCCGGTTATGTAAATTAAAGGGAAACGTTGAAGGAAATAATTTAAGGTGTGGAAAAACCATCAACTAAAACAGTCCTGGACAGTGATTTACAAAATGTATTCAGTGTGAGTGCATTCATTTCTAAATAAAGATTCTGATATATTTACCTTATGGGAGCATTTTGAGATTTTTTTAGGAGACTCATGACTGCCTATGCCTCAAMACTAACGTCACCATCAAGGGGAACAACACACTTAGCTCAGTTTTCATTGGCCAAAGAGTTTTTCCATTAGCACATGAAACTAAAATTGGCATACTTCAAAAGTTTCAAAATCAAGAAGCTCCTCTCAAAGACAAAAAGAAAAAGATTTTTTTCCCATTTCTAAGTGYCCATAATCCTTTGGGATAAATTATTGTTTCAGAAGACAAAGAAAGAATGGATTCCAGAAATCTGTAGATGAAGATTCATGGACTAATCTTTTAGAGCTGAAGTGCTCTACTCTCTCTCCCCTCTCAAGTATCCAGGATCATTGTTCTCCATTGCAAGAAAAGCAAAGCATCTCAAAAATTAATTCAATCTTACTCATGATTTTTAAGGGTATCCATGCCAAGAATATTTGAATTTACAAAAAACAACAAATGGAATAGGGTTGGTATTATTTTATTTCATTTATTTATTTTTTTAGAAATTGGTTGCAAACAGAAGGATATTAAGGCATGCATCAGGTATCTTGTGGATATGTGTGGATGTGGAGAAAGAGTAGGAATAGGGCAAGTTCATTGCTGCCATCAATTCTCACCACAGCAATACCTTCYACTTACTGAGCACCTCCTTGATACTAGGCCATTTAGTACATTATATCACATTGAATTCTACTACCCTGTGAAAGGTGAGTTTATTTTACAAATTAAGAAATGAAAACTCGGATAAGCTAGATATCTTACTGGAGGTCTTGTGCTTAAGAGAGGGAAAGCTACAATCTGCTTCCCAACTAAGTTTCTCTCCATAATTCAGGAATGTGAATATTCAAAATTAGAACACAAGTCAAAGGATGTTGGGAAGGATGTAAGCCCTCTAGCCCAGAGGACTGGGGTTCCTTAACTMAGGTGTTCTTTCAACCCCACCCTCCAGGAAGTTGCTTCCCTACCTTTGGCTTACTAGGTCTCTTTGATCCTCCTTCCCCATGCAGAACAGACACTACCCTCGCCTGCCTCTTCTCCTACTTTCTACTGTGGAGACCTTCTGTTTCCATTTTCTCCTCAGTCTCACTCACCATTGGTTGAGAAGATGATGAAGATCCACCCCAAGTAGGTTATTTAAGACCCAACTCTAGAAGAAAAAGAGGGAGAAGGACAGGGGCTGGCTTTTGCCTGATCTCTGCCTATTAACAGTTGGCAGTGTCTGAGGCAGCCGGGTGGCCTTCAGYAGCAGCCCATGCTACCCTCTGCTGGTTACTTTTGCCATTTTCTATGCTCTTTGGACAGCCCAGGGTTGGGTGCCAGGGTCTATACTGCCAGTTCAGGCACCCAGAGCTGTGGTGGAGACCCAGTGTGGCAGGTGGTTGCAGCTACTTGGAGGTGCTCCAGATGCAAAGCAGCCCTGCTGAGTCCACAGGTGGGAAAGGGCTTGTRGGAAGAATGTCAGGTTGACTGCCAGCTATTCCCATCTTTTCCCTCTAACCATCTGTCCACCATCCTGGAGAGGCAGTAAGAACTTTTTTAGGTTGGAAATAGGTGTAAGGATCCATTTTGAATCATAGAATCRTTCTCTATTTCCACAGTAAAGCACTATAGAAAAAGATAGTTAATGAGAATAGCATGATGCAGGCTAAAATCTCTAAAATGGTTGAAAGAGACATGTTAACCATATTTCAAAAAATTGCCTTCTCATCCTCAGACTCCTTGGCACAGCTTGCAGGAATCATTGTAAAAATGGAAGCAAGCTATCTGAGGGAGCTGGGTGGGGTACAGGAAGGATGTCAGGGAGTCCCTATTGGTCTCTTGTCCCCTCTTTTGCAAGCCAGGAGAAGGTGGCTCAGCCCAGGCTGGTGGGGAGAGGTCTTGCATTTGTCACGCTGGCCCTCCAGGTCACTCCRATACCTGCATTTCCTGGACAGGTTTTCTGGACCTCTGAGCTGCTTCAGCAGAGAGGGCAAAGCAAAGCAGTCCCTCCTGGGTCTGTGGGTTTCTCCTGGTTCTAAAGGCCCCCTTATTTCCTTCCCTGATGCCCCGATCTGCCTCTTCCCTTACTGAGGATTTCGGTTCTGTCCCTCTATTCCTAGAGTTGTATTTTGCTGCTCCATGTTTCCCTCTATAGTACTTGGGGGTCATTTCCTCTAGATTGGCTGGGGTGGGTGAGGAAACCCAAGYGCTTGCCTTAGAAGTAGGAATCAAGGTCTCCCAGAATCCCCAAGAGTCACCTTTCCTAGCACTACACACCCTGATCAGCAGCCTTAAGTGTGAGCTCTTTATCTATTTTCTTTTCTTTTGTTCCTTATGCCCATATGCTAAACAGTGAGGGGGGGGGGGGGATGGGGGAGGGGGGGAGGCTGTCTATTCTAGATGTTTACTGTGGGCTTTCTCTGTGATCGTGCAGTTCTAAAAGCCTGGGTTGGTCCAGAGGATGCTAGGAAAGGCAAATCTTTCCCTTCTCCTGGGAGGACCTGTCACCACCCTCCCTCCCCCCACACAAACACTTATAATGGGAAACAATGAAAAACCGCAGGACACCTGCCTCTACTCAAGGGTCAAGGGCCAGACCCCTGCAGCTCATATCCAGGTCAGGGAGGAGGTCAGAGTCCAGGAAGAACAGCAAGGGTCGGTCACGTTGAGGTTTGAGTCTCCCTACAATAGGGGCACACATCCACTGCTGGGAGCACTGGACCCCAGAAGAACTCCAAATGTCATGTGAGGTATTTGCAGGTTGTCCTGTGCACGTGAGTGGTCTTGCGGGGTTTATCCTTTTTCTCTTCACCGTCTCCAATGTGGGATTATTGTCTTGTGCTCTGAGATACGGATAAGGGGGACCCTTGGTGGAGAGTAGGACACCCTGATGAAGGGGGAGGAACAGGCAGCTCAGCCTCTGCTAAATGTGGCAGGAGCATAGTCATTACCCTCCATAGCCAGCTGTTTCCAGCTACCTGTGCCTGGGCAAAGATTCTAAGTGTGCCTTCAAGCTTCAAAATTAAWCCTCCAAATCCAGCTGCCAGTGGAGTAGGAAATCTGAAAATGTTTTTAAGTTTAGGAAATAAAGTATAACCCCCACACACCTTTTTTTTTTTTGTAGTCCCTATTAAGTCCTTACGCCAAAGTAACTCCATTTTGAAAATCAGCACCCGCCATCACCATCTTAAGAAGCCTACCCAGGCATGACCTTCTCCTTAAGTGCACCCCAAAGAGTTCCTAACTATAAAAACCACAACAAAGTAACAATCACAGGACTAGATAGGTTATTTTTTAACCACTTCCTTGCCCATGATCATATAGTTAAGAAGTTTTTCCAGCAGGCTGCTGCGCCTTGCAGAAGGGCAGCCTGGTAGATAGTCTCTGTCAATAAACCTTTGCTTGGTTCAGTGCTGTATCTCTCATAGATATTAGTGCCAGCTACCCTAACAGTACACTACAGCACGGCTTACCAGCTCTTCTGAATCACCAGGTCTTAGTAGAATCTGGCTTCAGCATCCAACTGCATCTCTGGCTGTTTATCCACAAGTATCCGCCCATTCCAATTTATTAAAGAGAAGTTAAACCCAAGCATTTATGTTTGGATCCTGGGATCAGTCTCATTCTCCTCCTTGGTCCTCCCCTCCCTCCTCCATGCAAAAGTTACCTTCCCAGGTACATTGTTTGGGATTTCAATGGAGTTAATTTCTTCATAGAAAAGGAATGGTAATTTGAAAGGCTCTCAACCAGGAGAATCTTTGTTGCCCAAGGAGGATGCATTTGTGTGTTATGTAAAATAAACTGAATTTTAAGAAACATATTTGGACCACATCTCAGATCTGCAATCTCTTGTTTGGGAGAAAGAAAAGTGTTTAAATTATCTCAAAACTGATATWGGAAAGTGATCTTGTAAAGAGGGAAGAGGATCTGATTTCTCATAATACCAATTCAGGAAGGGCTGCCAGGGTGTTGGGGACAGATGCTCCTTCAAGCCTTGTGTCTCCTTTGGCCCTCTCCTGGATTTTCTCAGGAGTGTGAATCCAGCTAGTACTGAAGTTTTGCTCTTTGTTGATTCTTAGGTTTTTGTGATTGTTGGGAGTGGTATTTGGTGTTTGGAGCATTTTGTGGACATCAAGGGCTTAGTGAGAATGTTGAGACCCACACTAAATGAAGAAAAGACTAACACTTTAAATTGCTGTTTCTCATGATCAGAGGAGATGTTTAGGTGCTGCCATTTAGCTTTTATCTTTTTGAACCATTCCAAATTATCACTGTTTTGTAATAATAAGGTAAATATTTTATATCCCCAAACTGTGTTATTCGACAGTTTAATAATTATATTTAACTAGATGTGTCCTCTAACATAATTACTATAGTAATAATTAATGAGCATCCTTTATTGAGTATGGGAATGAGCTAGACATTTGAGAACTTAATACAGTAATAATGACCTCTCCTTCACCTTCTCAGAACTGCTTACTTAGCAAATTACCCCTTGCATTTAAGATTTGTGTTAGAAGAAGTGATATCATGGAAGGAAGTTACTTGCCCAGGATATTCTAGGATCTGCATTTCATCTCAAGTAACTTTTAAAGATAAAGTTCATTTTCCATTGACAGCAGGGGTTCCAAGTATGGACAAATGGGAAAGATGCAAAAAAATTACTGAGTCTATCAAGACTGAGGTAGAGGAAAAGGAGAAGTGGTTGTTCAGGTGTGCACTAGCACTGAAC